GTGTCTCGCTCTCTGGTCCGGGCTGGATTGCAGTGGTGTGCTCACAGCTCACTGCAGCCTCAATTTCTCAGGCTGAAACCATCCTCCCATCTCAGCCTCCCTAGTAGCTGGGACTACAGGCATATGCCACCATGCCCAGCTAATTAAAAAAAAATTTTTTGTAGGAATGGGATTGATCTCGCTATGTTGTCCAAGCTGGTCTTGAACTCCTGGGCTCAAGCAATCCTCCTGCATTGGCATCCTGAGCAGCTGGGACTACAGACATCCACCACTATGCCTGGATCATTTTTTGTGGAGACAGAGTCTTACTACATTTTCTAGGCTGGTCTCGAACTCCTGGGCTCAAACAGTCCCCTTGGCCTCCCAAAGTGCTGAGATGGCAGTTGTGAGCCACCATGCCAGGCTATGACAGGAGAACTTCTTAAATGCACATGAGAGAGGAGTTTTGTTTGCATCCTCTCCAAAGATTCCCCTGAGAGTCAAAACTGTGATCAGCTTCGGGGGAGCAAACTTCTTTCAGCGCTGGCTCCCTAAGCAACTGGGGCTGTTTTCTCTGTGCCTTTCAGAGGCTTATGGAGTTTTCAGGAAGTAGATTTTTAGGATTCATCACTTCAGGCTCAGCCAGATGCTTGGAGATACACATATGTTATAATCGCAGCTTTTCTAAACTTCCTCACTGGATGGAGATCTTTATTCTCTTCATCTTACATTTATTAAAGATCTCTCCTCATTTTTTTGGGTGATCCCCTCTCTCACCGACTGAGTGTGGCTTTAGGAAGATCTCCCTTCTCTGCCAAACGTACTCACTCCATCCTCTGTGTTCCCATGGCGTTTTGTGTTTTCTTTTATTGCAATCTCCATCTTTTATGATTGTGATTATTTGTTTCTGTGTCTCCTTCTAAAGCTTGAGGGCAGGAGTCTTGACTTATTTACCTTATTTTTTCATTCATTAGCACAGTGCTTGGCCCAGAGTAAACACTTAGTATGTATTTTTTCAACAAGTGAATTACTAAAAATTTTTTTTTTCTTTGAGACGGGTTCTCACTCTGTCACCCAGGCTGGAGTACAGTGGCCGGATCACAGCTCACTGCATCCTCGGCCTCTCAGGCTCAAGCCATCCTTCCACTCAGCCTCCCTAGTAGCTGGGACTACAGGCACGTGCTCCCACGCCTAGTTAACTTAAACATTTTTTTTTTTTGTAGGAATGGGGTTTTGCCATGTTGCCCAGACTGGTCTTGAACTCCTGGGCTCAAGTGATCCTTCTGTTGAAATGGGAGTTCCCTGATCCCCCTCACAGGACATGTGACAGGAGTGTGGCTTGTCTGTTGGGTTGCCGTGGCTGCTCAAACCCCTTACGGGAGGGAGAGCACGCAGACAGACAGGTGCGGGAGCCCAATGGGGCGTGTGTTACAGTGTGCCCTTTTAGCCCTGCCGTCTGCGGACAGCTTGAGTGTTAACTAGCTCAGTGGACCCTCTGCCTTTCTGCCAGGGCACAGGGCCAGTGTGACAGCTTTCTGTATCCCGAGCTCTTCCGGCATCCCAGAAAAATCAGATCACACAGAGACTGGAAGGATGAATGTGGGGTTTTATTGAGTGGTGGACATGGCTTTCAGTGGGATGGATGGGGAGCCGGAAGTAGGGGATGGAGTGGGAAGTTGATCTTACCCTTGGAGCCTGGCCATCCAGCAGCCAAACCCCTCTCCGATAGCCCGCAGCCAAACTCCTCCTGGTGTTCAGATGTTCCTCCTCTTCTCTCTTTCTCTGCTGTGTTGTTCTGCCATCTGTCTACTTGTCTCCTCGCCTGCTCGTCTGCTTGTGGAGCCTGGGGTTTGGGGTTTATATGGGTATAGGATAGGAGGTGTGGTGGTCAAAAGGCAGCCTTTTGGATGCAAAAACGGAAATGCCTGTCCTCATTTAGGGCCGTGGGTCTTCAGGCTTGAGGGTGGGGCCTTTGCCAGGGAACTGCCCTCTTCTAACCAGTGTTTCCCTGTCTCCTGTCCATATCACTGCCTCGGGCTCCCAGAATGCTTGGATTTCAGGCATGAGCCACTACGCCTGCCCTAAACAAGTTTTGATGGATCCCTATCCCCTATTCAGTGAAATACAAACCTTAGCAAATCATGAAAGCTCCTTCAGCTCCTTGTCACCCTTCTTCACTCTCTTGCCCCCACTGTGCCTACTGCTTTCTCTTCTCCACACTGCTTTCCATCTGATCTTCATTCCTGTGTTTCTCTTGGGATAATATGTAAGCCAGCATTCCAGGAGGATTACTCTGTGCAAGCCTCAGTACCAAGCACTTTATGGGCATTTAATTCTCACCATACTCCTTTGTAGTTTCCCTTTTACATATAAAAATCCTGAGGCTTGGAGAGGTTACATAGTGATATGGTTTGGCTGTGTCCCCACCCAAATCTCAACTTGAATTGTATCTCCCAGAATTCCCACGTGTTGCCGGGGGGGATCTAGGGGGAGGTAATTGAATCATGGGGGCCAGTCTTTCCCATGCTATTCTCGTGAAGTGAATAAGTCTCACAAGATCTAAGGGGCTTACCAGGGATTTCTGCTACACCATGTAAGAAGTGTCTTTTGCCTCCTGCCATTATTCCTAGGCCTCCCCAGCCATGTGGAACTCTAAGTCCAATTAAACCTCTTTTTCTTCCCAGTCTTGGTTATGTCTTTATGAGCAGCATGAAAACAGACTAATACATGTAGCCTTCCCCCAGACCACATAGCTAGAAAGGAGTAGCGCTAGGGTTTGAACTCACATGGCCTAGGTCTGGAGCTGTTTTGATAGCTACCTCTGCCTCCTGATCTGGGTCTCCATTCCAAAGGGATTATTCAGCATTTCCAGAAAATCCCACATTCTCTTTGTGTCTATCATAATGCTTAAAAGACCTCCCTCTATTTAGTGGGGTTAGGAGTGAGGGTTTGAATTATAAGGGCTCTTGTATGGTTATAAGTTAGACCCTTAAGAGAACTCTGGATGGAGCCACTCTGAGGAACTCGTTGGAAACTACTCCCAACCACATGTCTCCATCAGCCATAGCTCCGAATGTGTGGAATTGGTTTCCAAAGAATTCCAAGACTATTTCTAATAGTCATTACACAGCTGGGCATCAGCCATCCCTTGCTTCTACTTCACTGGTGTCCAGACACTTTTGTTTAAAGCTATGGTCCTCATTCTTCAAAAAAATTCACATGGAACCTCAATGTATAAAACAGATAAACGCGGACATGAATTTTCCAGAATTTTCCATCTCAGTGTATAAAACAGATAAACATGGACATGAATTTTCCATCTCAATGTATAAAGCAGATAAACGTGGACATGAATTTTCCATCAGTGTGCCTTACCAGAGTTATTCCACATCTCTTTCTCAATCGTAAAGACACAGCACTCTCCCTCCCACCTGCCTCCCCTAGTTCTTTTTCTTCTTTTTTTTTTTTTGAGACGGAGTCTCACTCTGTCGCCCAGGCTGGAGTGCAGTGGCGCAATCTCAGCTCACTGCAAGCTCCGCCTCCCGGGTTCATGCCATTCTCCTGCCTCAGCCTCCCGAGTAGCTGGGACTACAGGCGCCCGCCACCATGCCCAGGTAATTTTTTGTGTTTTTAGTAGAGATGGGGTTTCACCATGTTAGCCAGGATGGTCTCAATCTCCTGACCTTGTGATCCGCCCGCCTCAGCTTCCCAGAGTGCTAGGATTACAGGCGTGAGCCACTGCCTGGATCTTACTCTGTCACCCAGGCTGGAGTGCAGAGGCATAATCATAGCTCACAGCTCACTGCAGCCTTGACCTCCTGAGCTCAGGTGGTCTTCCCACCTCAGCTTACTGAGTAGCTGGGACTACAGGTGCATGCCACCATGCCCAGCTAATTTTTTGTATTTTTTTTTTTTTGGTAGAGATGAGGTTTTGCATATCGCTTAGGCTGGTCTCAAACTCCTAAGCTCAAGCAATTATGGAGTCTCACTCTTTCGCCCAGGCTGGAGTGCAGTGGCACAATCTCAGCTCACTGCAAGCTCTGCCTTCTGGGTTCATGCCGTTCTCCTGCCTCAGCCTCCCAAAGTGCTGGGATTACAGGTGTGAGCCACTGCACCTGGCCACCCTAGTTCTTTATGTGTTAACTCTGGGTTTATAGGGGAATCCACTGACCTGGGTTTGTGACAGATTTGTGGGAAACATGTTCTTCGACAATGCCTGTGTCAATCATGTAGACTGTATGAATTTGAAACAGGCCTAAGGTAGCAAGAGACAGTGGGAATATGGACTATAGATATTCCAAATAGGAGAAGAACTCACGTGGGGCTCATGGATGAGCTGTCTGTTTCTTAAGAGGCTTCTTGGGATGACATTACCTCAGTGAATCCACAGTCTAAGCACTGGCCTTTATCCTGGCAAGCTGGGAACTTCGATTTTTGTCTACACATCGTGTGGCTTAGTTGGCCTGGTACTTGAGCCAGGGTCCCTGTTGCCCAGGAAGCATTTGCATCGGCACTATTACCATGTGCTTTTCTGAAGCTGTTGGCTCTGTACTTCCATGGCTAAGCAATATGATTTTTTAAATTGATTCATTGTACCCTGTTACACATAGAGCAAGGATATAGTCAAGTGTTGCCAACCCAGAAGCCTTTCTGTGTCTGTTAAGGGAGAGAGCATACTATGTTAGTTAAGAACATAGGCACTGGAATTAAACAGAACTGAGTTCAAATCCCTGGCACTGCCACCTAGAAGCTATGGAACCCTTGCCAATTTCTTGAACTCCTCTAACCTTATTTTTCCTTTCAATCATAATAAAAATAAGCAACCTTAGGGGCGTTGTGAAGATGAAGTGCGATACACGGTGTGAAAGTCTGCAGTGTTTGGCACAGGGAGGTTGCCTGGTAATTGGTAACTTCTAGCTTCATTGTGATGTAGGTGGCCTTTCATCTCTCTCTTCTGATCCAGTTTGTGCTGATTTTCAAGTTTAACTTTCAGGAGCTCATCTTATGTATCTTGATTCCAGATCCCAGGAGGAGGCTCCTCCAGGCTCCTGAGAGGCCACACACAGGGTCCCCAGCACAGCTTACTGCTTAGTGTCTCCTGTGCCATGGAGGAAGACATGTGGCAGGAGTACCCAGTGCTAATATGTGTTCATGTCTGTGGCAATGCTGACCATCCGGCTGGTTTGAACCAGGATAAAAGTGAAGATGTCATCTGTGAAGACCCAACTCTTTCTTTGGCTCTTCTGTGGAATCCATCTTTGTTCTGCTGTCCTCTGCTGCCCAGGTATGTGCAGTATAAACAAGTTACACACATATCACATAAATCCATGCTTGTGAAAAATCCAAATAATGCATAAGCATATAAAATTTATTGTCTTCCTTTACTCTCCCAGTGCCCCTCAACCCATCCCATTTACTAATCATTATTAATAATACAAATACATAATTAGTAAATTAGTATTATTTTGGTGTGGATCATTCTAGACTTTTTTCTATGCATTTATACACTGCTTTTAAAAAATGGTATTACACTATGCACATTTTTTGGCAAACTGCATTATATTTTTTGAGACCAAGTCTCACTCTGTCACCTAGGCTGGTGTGCAGTGGCGTGATCTTGGCTCACTGCAAGCTCCGCCTCCCAGGTTCAAGTGATTCTTCTGCCTCAGCCTCCTGAGTAGCTGGGATTACAGGCACCCATCACCACACCTGGCTAATTTTTGTATTTTTAGTAGAGATGGGGTTTCACCATATTGGCTGGCAGACTGCCTTTTGAACTTAATGTTGCTTAATCTTTCATGTCAGCACATAAAATTCATCCTATTCTTTTTTTTTTTTGAGACAGGGTCTTGCTCTGTTGCTCAGGCTGGAGTGCAGTGGCACAATCACGGCTCACTGTAGCTTTGACGTCCAGGGCTCAACCAATCCTCCCACCTCAGCCTCCCAGATAGCTGGGACTGTGGAGATACACCATTATGCCTGGCTAATTTTTTCTATCTTTTGTAGTGATGAGGTTTTGCCATGTTGGCCAGGGTGGTCTCGAACTCCTGGACTCAAGTGATTCCCCTGCTGTGGCCTTCCAAAGTGCTAGGATTATAGGCATGAGCCACTGCTCCTCACCTCGTCACATTCTTTTACATTTTTGCATAGTTTTCTGTATATAGATGAATCATTGTATACTATGAGAGTATTGATGGATACTTAGCTTTTCGGTTTTTAAATACTAAAAACAAGGTTTTGGTAAATATTTTTGGGTTACAAGCGATGTGCCTTTTAACATTTTGATAGATATTGCCCAACTGTCCCCCTGTAAGCCAGTTTATATTCCTATCCACAGTATGCAAGAAAGCCCATTTCCATATATACTCACAAATATTGTATCTTCTTTAGTCTTTTTACTCTTTAATAACTTTATGATAAAACACTTTATTTTAATTTGCATTTTGCTGATTATCTGTGAGATTAAGCATCTTTTCAGTTTTTTCATTGGTTCTTCTGAATACCATAAGTTTATATCTTTTTCTCAGTTTTCCTTTGCATCACAGAAGCTCTTTGTATATTATGGATTTTTAGTTTTTTTCTCTGTACTTTCTTCTAGACTGTCTTTTAATTAAAGCCTGGAAATATTCAATTATGAGGTTATAGAACCTATATTAGCTTTCTATTTCTGCGTAATGAACCACCCCAAAATTCATAGTTTAAAAAAACAACCCATTTAATTTAGCTCATAATATTGCAGGTTGACAATTTTGGCTGGGCTCGGCTGGGTGGTTCTTCTTCTCTTTTTTTTCCCTTGAGACTGTGTCTTGCTCTGTCACCCAGGCTGGAGTGTGGTGGTGTGGTCCTCAGCTCACTGCAGCCTCCGCCTCCCAGGTTCAAGCAATTCTCCTGCCTCTACCTCCTGAGTAGCTGGGATTATAGGCATGTGCCACCACATCTGGCTAATTTTTGTATTTTTAGTAGAGATAGGGTTTCATCATGTTGGTAAGGCTGGTCTCAAACTCCTGACCTCAGGTGATACACCTACCTCAGTCTCCCAAAGTGCTGAGATTACAGGCATGAGCCACCGCACCCGGCCAGATGGGTGGTTCTTCTGTCTGGCCGGTGGGTGGGCCAAGCCTGGTTAATCTTGTCTGAGGTTGCTTGTGTACTTGTAGTTAACTGATAGATTGTGTGGGCTGACTGGTTTATCATAGCCACATGTGGGACAGCTGGGATGATTGGGACCTTTTTCCACATTGGCTCTGAAACTCTTTCAGCCCACTCTGTGTTTGTTCCCATGGTGAGCACAGAGTTCCACGAATTTGAGAATGGAAACTGTAGAGTCTCCTAAGGCCTCAGCTCAGGGTTGATATGGTTCCATTTGTGCACATTCTATTGGTCAAAGCAAGCCATGAGATCAGCCCAGATTAAAGGGGTGGGAAAATATACTCTACCTCTTGATGGGAGGAGCTTAAATATTATGACTATTTTTACAGTCTACAGCAGAAGTCCAATTCAGATTCATGTTTTCTTACTGATTTAATGCTTGCATTTATGTTTGATGATTCTGCTCAAAAATATCTTTGGCAAGGCCAGGTGAAGATATGAATAGTAGGAGAGTAGAAGTCTGTATACAAATAATATTTTTCCATGGCAGACTGCATATTAACTTTTTAGAAAACCTTTCTTTTCATCCTGTTTCAAATAGGGTGGTTAGGAACATGATGTCTGGATTTCCCTTTTTTTTTTTTTTAAATTTCTTTTATTTTTTATTTTTTATTTTTTCAGTCTAAGCTCAATGCAGTCTCTGCCTCGCATGCTCAAGTGGTCTTCCCACTTCAGCCTCCCAAGTAGCTGGGACTACAGCTGTGTGCCACCACACCCTGCTAATTTTTTTATTTTTAGTAGAGATGGGGTTTTGCTGTCACTCAGGCTGGTCTTGAACTCCTAGACTCAAGTGATCCACCTGCCTTGGCCTCCCAAAGTGCTGGGATTACAGGCATGAACAACTGTGCCCAACCTGATGTCTGGATTTCTAGATTGGTCAAAATGACTTATGTTAATCCTGTTCCCCTGTCCCCATCCCCTCATTTTAAACATAATGAAAGGGTGTTGGGATGTGGTTATTCAATTGTAGTAATAAATGCTATGATCATTAATGCAAAGTATTAGACTAAAAATTTATACATGAGAATTTTCCAATTTAAAAAAGCCAACTTCTAGTCTTGATTTCTTGTGTTAATCTGTATTTTCAAGTTAGTTGATGTTGCTTGCAATTTCTGGTTTAAATGGTTAGTATAAACTCTTCTTACCTAATTCTGGCCTTGTAGGAACAGTCCTAGGAATTCCATCAATTCTTGTTTTTACTATGTGGAGTAAACGGTGGTGGCCAATGAGTCCTTTGTCTAAGCTCCTCTCCCTTCTAGCGATCATGAGGCTTCTCAGTTCATACAATAGGTGTGAAGCTTAAGAATAGACTTATAGACCTGCCGGTTCATGTTTTCGTTTATAAATTTATGGTCTTTTGGGCAAACCTTTAACTCAGAATGAAGCATGAGTAATGTCTGGGTGTAACCTAAAATATTTTTATACAAAGATGGTAGTTTTTTGAAAATGCAAGGTTATTTACTATTGTCCTCAGTTCTTTCTTAAGGAACAGAGGCACCTTGAAAATTTGATATATTTATACATAAAAGCCTGATTTCCTTTGATTCTTGTACATGTACAAAATGATGCTAATTAAAAGAAATATGCTGTTCAATAAAGGAACAGTGTATGATGAGGGAGCCGTCCGTGAATGCTGGAGCCAGAATCTTGTTTGAATTAAGAGGATGTCTGCTAAGTTAAGGCACCCCATGGAGATGTATAAGGCCAGAGCTTCCAGCAGTCCATACTGTCTTTATTGAGAGACATATTTATATCTTCCAGACTAGTAATTAATCACTCAGTGGGGTTTTCTTGGGGGGGAGTCGTGCACTCACAGAGAATCTTTTTGTACTGCCAGGAACCACAAAGCATGGGCACAATTAAAATGCTGATTCAATTTATTATATTGAAGCATGGAACAGGAATGTTTAAATGATGTTGACAGGGCCAGAATTTCAAACCACCTTTTTAAAAATAGAAAACAAATGCCTGTCCCCTTAAATTAAATTATATTAATAACATGTCTCTTATAAGTTGCTTGGAAGCAAAATAAAGCTCTTGACATTAATTAAAATTTGAAGATGTATCATTTGTTGTTAATGTGCAGTCTTTGTTAGGGGAAATACATTTCAGAGTGATCTATTTGTGAAAATTAAATGGGGAAAATTGCCTATTGAGCACATGTCGGTTAATGAGGCTGCTTTTCTTAGAAATATGGATTCTTAAGTAACTAAAATGTTTTTATACTCCAATAATGGTTTCTATTTTTGATCCTCTCAAAAATTGTCTGTTACTCGAATTTTGATATTTCCACACAGAAATCTATTGTCAGGGGGCTTGTAAGCTTTGAAAACCAGGAAGGCCTTCATATATTTTGGGGTGTTGGGTAACATACATTTGCAATGAGAATTTCATCTGAAATTGATGTGGTTAGGCACATGGACCTCTTCCAAATACCTCAGCAGGACCAGGAGCCGAAGGGCCCCATTAGCAACCTTTAACTAGCTCTCCTCTAATGAAGGCGATGTTCTATGTTTTGAAACTACACGTTTCTGCTTTCACACGAACTAGAAAGTGCCATGAGATAATGGGATAGCTGTTGCCTTGCTGTACCCCAGCGACGGGAGGTAATAGAGTCACCTCTGTTGAGGACCTCAGATGCAAATAATATTCTGAAAATGTATACATCTCCAGGGTCATGAAGGAAAGGCTGTTTTTCACCCTGGTAGTGGGTTTTATTTTCTTTTGGTGTTGGCACAAATGCATTTGACTTGGGGTTTCAAAGTTGATATCTAACAGAACTCTTAGACAATGTTAAAAGAATGTGTTCTTCAGTGGATGCAATAAAAATCCCATCAATGATGGATGTTGTCCGTCACCCCCTTCCTCCCATCTTCGTGGACCTTGATAGTCTAACTATGGCATGGAAACGAACTAACCTCTGTTGGCCTTGAGAATTCAGAGATAGAAGTGCAGATGGAGTGGAAGAACAGAGTCATTTATCTACGTGTGTCTTTCCACTGATTAAAATTAAAACAGCCACAGTGAAGTCAATATTTATTTTTATGAACTTTTATGTGGTATGAGTTTTCTTTTGGGAAATGTCCCTGTTTTTGTGGAAAAATTCTTGTGACTTAGGTAGTAAACAACAACATT